CTACTCAATACAAATCTGGGTAACTCTAATGTGCTATGACAAGTATTAGGGCAGAAATAAAAGACTTAGTCCTTATTATGCATGGGGAAAAGAGCCAAGAAACATAAAATTCAGTCTGTTAACGGTTTTTACAGAATGAAGCCCTAGTTACTACAGGATCATAAAAGAAAGCATCCAGAGAGGCAGGGGCCATCAGGACAGTTGTGTGCCTTGAGCTAGTTAAGAAAAGGGGTTGGTGGGGGGTATGGTGGAAGGAGGGAGGAAGAGCAGAGGACGCAGCTTGTTTGGAAGCACAGACAGTATATAGGGATATGAACCACAAGCAGCTCGATGTGGCTAGAGTCCTGGAATTTATGGGATATGTGGAGGTAGAGGATGGTCTTTCACTCATACTGCATAAAATTTGATTTAATTTTGAAGTTCAGAGATATTAATTAAAATTGCATACTCAAGTTTGTATTTTAGAAGTATCTGGTAGCAAGGCCTTGAGAAAAACTATATAAATTTTAAAAAAAAATTTTTTTAGACATCAATGGACCTTTATTTTATTCATTTATTTATATGTGGTACTGAGAATCGAACCCAATGCCTCACACATGCTAGGCAAATGCTCTACCACTGAGCCACCACCCCAGCCCATAAACTATATAAACTTTAATTCAGAGTTAGGAACATGGTAAAATTGATAAGATGAAGATCTCTGAGAACTGCAATTCCCTATCGAAGTAATCTGACCATTATTATTATCATTATTATTTACCTCCCCCACAGAGGACTCAAAGAAGAGAATATTAAAGGCAAGAGGTATGAAAAAATTATTAAATATCATGATTCAACTCTAAATCCTAAATAAAATGGAACAAAGAATAAACATTCAGGAAAACCATCCTCAGTGTCACTCTCCTAATGAAGGAGTGCTCAGTGAATCCAAGATAATATTTACCACGCCAAAGGAAACACCCAGGCCATTCATCATCCCCTTACTCTTTCACATTTTTCTTTTCAAAAGATACCAACACTGAATAACTACTGGTCCTTAGACTTCCAGAAATCCTCCTGGCATCTCAACAGTAGAATCTTTCTTTGTCATCAAAGCAAGGGGGAAGCATTGCCTCAATCACAGGAATGGTGACCGCAACCAACCATTTAGTTTTGCTAAGGCACAAAAGGTCTTTCTCAATTGTCTTATTTCACAACTACCTTGCAAGCCAAGCCTTAGAGGTTAGTTTGGTTTGGGGGACCACTGTAGGCAGCTGGAAAAGAACCAGAATGTTCCCTAGCATTGCTTCAGCACTGAACTTTCACAGGTAAGAAAAAGCAATAGGTTCTCTGTTCTCTAGTTTCAATAATGCTGCCTTAGAATTTGTTATTTTTTTTTTCATCTCCAAAAGTATGTTCTCCAGAAGTTCAAAAAGGAGAAAAAAAATTCATGCACAAAGAGATCCTGGTACAGGTACCATATACCTTTTATCTCTTTTAGGATAGGGCTTGAAATTTGGAAAGTTGATAAAAATAAAAACAAACAAACAAAAAAATACTTCATATAAAGTGTGTGTGTTTGTGTGTGTGAGAGAGAGAAAGAGAAAGAGAGAGAGAGAGAGAGAGAGAGAGAGAGAGAGAGAGAGAGAGAGAGAGAGAGAGAGAGACCTGGATATGTGTGTGACCTGTATATGTTGTATTTCAGTATAAAATCCAACCAATCCATGTAAGGAAACTGAGGAGGGGAAAATGGAAGAAAATCTAAAATGGACAGAAAATTAAATATAATCCTAAGTACACAAAAAAAAAGTTCATAAGGCAGGTCAGTGTGTGTGTGTGCGCGTATGTTGATATGCATAAGACACAGATACTTGGTGTTATTTGTCTAACAGGCTATATATAAATCTAAGAGTCACTTTTGAAATGTTTTGCAAATATTTATTCAACTTCTAAAAATGATACTAACCTTTTGGAACACATTGTGGCTTTCAATAGTTAGTTTCAAAAACTTAAATACAGGGGCAAGACAGTGTGAAACTTTAAGTCTAGTATCAATTCCAGAATGTATTACAAAGGAAGTTTTCTTTTTTGAGTCCTTTTACTGATTTTCTATGAAGCACAGTTAAAAAGAGAGGAGGAAGGGGAAAGTTTAAGGATTGCTTGGTTTCCCTGACTTTAAATCTCTATCTCTGGGGAGAACTTCCTGTAGAAAAAAGAAGTCAAGCTTGTTAGTATTTAGGTAATAAGAAGTTTTGGATCATTCTTTGAATCTTGTTACTTTTTCCTTTAAAAAAATGACATACTTTTAACTTATAGTTTTGTGGGCAGGAGGAATGAGGAAAGGATCAAACTGGTTCTTGTCTTTGTTTCCCTAGGAATGATACATTTAAGAAAACCTAAATCAATTTGATAGTGTATAAACCAAACATAACAAACAGATGTGTGTGGGGATGTATGCACACTCATATTGTAACGAAGTTTATAATATATATTTATATTTAAAGAAAACAAAAAAAAATTCCCAAGATTTGTCGTTTGAATATTCCTTATCATAACAAGTAACAAATCAGTTTAAAATATGTAAAGCTGTGAAGTATGATTTCCTTTTATATATTTTAATTTTTTTACCTATTAAAAATACTTCCAAGGCATTCCTCTAATATGATATCTAAAGGCATCATTTTACATAAACATATCATTTGAAGCAACAATGCTAACAAAATTAACAAGCAGCTAGTTAGCTGGAAATCCGGATTTATTTCAAATAAGAAAAAAAAATTCTGATCATCAGGAGAAAACAAAGAGCAACTAAATTCCAAAAGGGAAAATTAAGGAAGTAATAGGGACTTATGAGTAAGTCACTGAAAATAACGTCTTGGCCCATATTAGTATTAATTTTTATTACTGGCAAACCTCATGATATTAGACCATCTCTCATATTTGACCCAGGAAGGCAAATACAGTCTTGAAGGGATTACAATCTTCTGAAAATCATGGTTGCCAAAATAATGACTGACTTATTTCACAGAGGGAGTAAACTGAAGGAACTGCTCAAGATTTCTAAAATCTAGAAGCAAGAAGCAGACACCAGAGAAAAATCAGAATTTCTGATTTTTTAAGGAGGACACCTTAAAAATGAGGAATAAGACTTCATTTTTCAATGAACTGGACATGAATGAAAGAGTGGAAGTTAAAGAAGGAATCTACTCAGTGTAAGTGAGACTTTCTAATATCAAAAACATATTAGAAAAGGATAGTCTACCCTGAAGGGCAGAGAGCATACTACTCAGTATGAAAATAAGTGTTTCATCAAATGATAAAGATTTCTTAGCAAGTACAATCTTAATAACAATGCCAGTCATTACCACCACCACAATGATAGTTGATCATCTGACAGAAATCACTGAGCACTGTTCTAAGGGCATTACATATACTGATCCATTTAATCTTCACTATGGCCATCTGGTTCCACAGTCTGTCCTTAACCACCACAATACACTGCTTACCTCCCAGTTCTAGAATCCTGGACAAGCTACTTAACTGCTCTGCATCTCCATTTTCTCCTTAAATAAAAAGAGGACAACAGTACTTACCTCAGATGACAATGATAAAAATTAAATGCATTAATATATTTGTTTAGCACCCAGAATAGTGCCTGTCACAAAGCATCTACTTTATTAATTTTTATATAATATTTTTTGTGGTACTAGAGATTGAACCCAGTGATGCTCTATCACTGAGCTACTTCCCAGCTATTCTTATTTTGTGACAGGGTTTCTCTAAGTTGCCCTTACTGGTCTTGAATTGTGATCCTCCTGCCTCAGCCCCCTGAATCACTGGGATTATAGATGTGTGCCACCATGTCTGGCAGATTATTTCAATTTTTAAGAAACATTTTTACTTGGATGTCAAAGAACTCTGTCTAGGTCACTGTGAACAACGTGACACAGATGAGGGGAATCCAAGGATTGCTTTCAAAGATGCTTCTCTAGCTAAACAAAATCAGCCATGAAAAATTATAGGAAAAACTGCTACATAAGACCAGAGTCTCTGCATATTTGGCACGGCTAATTAAAATAAGGTAAGACCTTGAAAAAAAAAAAAAAAAGGCCCAGGCCATCAGCCTTTGCTGACTTCTCTGACCACCTTCAACACCTTTGCCAATCATTCAAACTATACTTTCAGCAGAACTGGACTTTACCTAGTACCCACTTAACAAATTCCCAAACCTAGTCAACTCAACACACTTCCTTTGTGCCTATTATCCAACTGCAACATGGCATCCAAAATGGCTGAATAAATCTTTTACTCATCCTTAAGTCATTTACAAATTCTCAGAGCAACATTAAACCTTTATTTCACCTAAGCTTCTAAATTCACTGTCTCCACCCTCAAATATCTTAGATTCCTCAAAAATTGGAAAATAAAACAAATCAGACATAAATTCTTTCTACTTTCCACAAATCTTCTCTGTACTCCTGAACTCCTGAAATAGCAAATCAATCCAATATTTACTGATGTTTCCTCCCGATTTTTAAAAAAGTATCAGAAGATAAAAAAGTCTTCTGTCCTCCTTTCCAAGGCCAACTATTTCTTCTTTTCTCTGATGCTATCCAAGAATCGTAGGTTACATCATCTTCCTCTGCTGGTTGTCTGGCAATCATTTCCCTATCTCCAACCCACTCTTGAATCTTCACACTTTTTCTACTGATTCAAAATATACCCAGAGCTAAAAAAAGTTCTCAGTCTTATTGCCCTCCTAAGTCTTGACCTTTGCACCCAGTGTACTGCCAAATATATCAAGAATGGTCTCTTGCTGTAAGTGTGTAGTGGGCTGAATTAATAAATGTGAATCGCTGGAAAGCAGGTTTTTCTTGATTACAATCAATCTTTCAAATATGTTTGAAGGTTCTGGCACCCAGTAGGCTTGGATTTGGCAACCATTAATTATTTTATACATATTTTTTTACACTATGTTTTACACTTTAGACTATGTTTTTAACAAACATAATAAAGGAAAGTATTGCATAGAATTTTATTATATATGACAAACTATACTATAACTGAAGGTTGTTAATTGCTTTAGGACTTCTTGTACAAGGTTTATTGTAGATTAGCAATACTAATACCTTAAAATATTTTTGAAGGATAATTTTTACATAAACTACATAAGGAGTAATGATTGAAGTTATGAACAATACTATGGTAATGTAAATGACCACATAAACTCTTAAGAGCCTTAGCTAATTTAAAACTTATCTATAAAAAATGATAAATTTATAGAAATAAAACTTTTCCATACCTTCAGGGAAAAGTATCTGGTAAACAAAGACCTAAAATTGGGGAGAACATAATGTATTTAAGTAGAAGAAAGCTAGTCATTGAAGGTAGAGCACAGTAAACAAGGGAAGAGGCAAATGTCAGATCCTTCCTGGCCTCCTAGGTCAGAATTAATACCTTTTGGCAAACTCATAAGAACAACAGAAGCCGATAAAAAGCTTTAAGAAGGAAAAGTTGGGAGATGGAAGGATCACATCTGCAATTTTAAAACCTCCAGTTGCGTTCGAAAGAATGAATAGGTAGTCAACCAGAGTTGGAGTCATATATTTAAGAAGGAAATGATGATAGCCTGGATCAGGGTGGCAGCAGAGATGAAAATGAGGAATAGATTCTAGAGGATAAAATCAGTAAGACTTGGCAAGTGATTAGATATGGGGAGAAAGAAAGAGAGCTGTCAATGAAATGTTGGTTTCCTGCATGTATATACATATGTACATGGAAATGCAGAGTAACCCATCTTATATAATATATACCAACTTGTTAACAAAAATTACCTGTGGAACGAGATGATGAATTTTACAGTAACAGGGAGGCTTTTTTTTTTTTTACTGTGTAAATATCTACATTGTTTAAATATTTTATAATCAGTAAGTTTACACTGCTTTCTTAAATTTACATGCAATAAAAAGAAAAAAATTCTGACTAAAAAGGATATGCCCTTTTATGGAGAAGGAACAACCTAACAAAAAGCACAAAACACAAGAAAATACACAAAATATTTAAGGAATATCAAGTAGTCTAGTGTTCGCAGAATAGGAAGGAAGAATGTGTACTGGGAAGGGGGTTAGGGAGGAATGAACCCATTTTAGAATATGTCCAGATCATGAAGACCTTGTAGATCAGGCTAAAAAAAAAAACATTACCTAAACTGTAGGAAATGAAAAGGCATATTTTCAAACAAGAGAGTGAAAAATTCAAGTTTGTATTTTCAAAAGATTGCCCTAGAGTCAGTGTGAAGATCAAAGAGAGAAGACAGGCAGAGAGATCACTTACACAAGAACTTAAGTTAAATCAAGGAAAACATAGATAGAGAAGGGGAGAGATCTGAGGTTCATTTAAAAAGCAGTTGACAATACTTGGTGATTAAGAAAGAGAAAGTCAAAGATGGTTCCAGTGATGACATCAATTTAGGCACTATACAAGAACAGATTAAGAACGAAGATAAACAACAACAACAACTTTGTTTTAAAGATGTTGAGGGTTTTAAAGTACCTCTGGAAGCAGATCAGGTATCAACAGGAAACTGAATATATAGGTTTGAATTGTGGAACACTGTCAGGACTGGAGCACAGGAAGATTATTATCCAGAACAGAAAATTTTAAACATGGTCACAACCTTACCCTTGATAGGATTTCACTGAGGCAACTGTCAAGAGTTGACTAGTAACATTTATTCTCATAGCAATAAAAATTCTACGTAACTGTTAAGTCTTTATAGGTAATAACCTTAACAAGTAAGATAGGGTTTTTGTCTTGGTATCTTGGAGTCTTTTAATTTTTTTAACCCTTTCCACTCGTTTTATCTGCCTGTCTTTCTTTCTTCCACCCACCCATCTATCTAGTTAAGGAAAATAGATGAGGTATCATAAGGAAGTATAATATGAAAGTGATTTGCTACTCTTATTGTCTTAGTTGTCAAAGACAAAGAATATTCTACAATTCTACCCTTAACAAAATCTAAGTTAAACAATGATTTACCTATGTGATTCTACTGATTTTCTCTTGCAAATGACCAGCCTTATTTAACCAACCTCCCCAAGGTAACCAAATCCAGCTAAAGCTTTACCACAGAGGTTAAACAAGTCCTATTGTTGCTCACTGTTAGAAACTGAGTCACACTGTACCTATGTCTAAATGACAGTGCCCTGTTAAAAGGGAAGTGGAAAGAAAGAACCTGTTGGCAAAGGAATAGCTGCTTCCTTCCTGAACAAGGGAGAGGCAGGAAGGTGACAGATGGGCAGAGCAGAAAAGCAGCCTAAAATTGCTCTGGCTCCTCATTGGCAAGAATGTCCAGAACTGAGGCAAGATTGGATATTTTAAAGTACATAAATCATTGAGAAGCATTATCTGCTGAAGTTCAACAGGGCTTCCCACATATCTATATTTGAAAAACTTTTAAGTTTGAAGTGGCACAAAGAATCTTACCTCAGCCTATACATAGTGAGCTAGGACTGCAAGGCACTGCCCCATTGCACTTTAGGATTATACCCAAAAGAAAGCACTTTCTGGTTAAAAATATTTTTTTAAAATTTCACTTTCTATATCATAGTTATATTTGTATGATTAACTAGAATTACTAATAAAATTTCACTAGAAAACATTTTTTCTTAAATATGGTTATTTTTACATATTTAATTTAAAAAGGTTTGTTGCAAACTTTTATAATTTGTTCCTTTATCATCTCCCCCTCCCATCCACTTCCGCACCCAGAAAATTAATACCCAAGGATTCCTGGGTAAAACAGACAACCACTGGATTGATATGTTATAACTAACATTTTTAAAAAGCTGTAAATAGTTATTGTTCATCAAAAGAAAATTAGCAATCATTAAAAATGACATTAAAAATTAGTGTGGCCATAAAGTATGGAATTTTAAAACATCAGTTTACTATACTGATTAATTCAACATTTATATTTTCATCAGAACTTAATATTCCCATAAATAAATAGAGCTCTCAATTATTTAAAAAAATCAAGGGATAACATATGTATTTAGACATATTAGCAGCGTAAAATGTATGCTTCAACACACTTATTGGGAAAAAGTCTAAAAATATTACTACACTGAATTCAAGGGCATCCGCAGGAACCTGACATAGAAGTTCTCTAGAATAACATTTCAGGAAATTTCAAAAAAAGGGAAAAGGGTCAAATAGGAAATAGACTCAGATTAATCAACAAAGTTCAGTGCTTGCTCCAACTTGATTTTTCTGTCTCTCCATTGAAAAAAAAAAAGAAAAAAGAAAGAAAGTTTCAGAATGGGAGAATCACTTAGATGAAAGTTCATCTACTGGAATAAAGGGAGAGGCCGCTTGGGCAGGTGACACAGGAGAGTCGGTGGTAGTGCTGACTTTCGCTGGTGAGTTACAAGAAGACCCGGCACTGCTGCTGTTTCCATCCAGGGTATCTGAAGATACACACACACCAGGATCTGACAGCTGTGCAACGTCAGAAGAAAGCATGTTGGTGATGCCCTGGAAAAATCTCTTTGGCTGATACTCAGTTTCCATTTCACATTTTCTTTTCAATGGTCCAAGAACACTTGGTCTAATGCAGTTGATGGGACTCTGGCTTCTCCGGGTAGTAAATCGAGTAGTTGGGCTGGGAATAGGGCTTGGAGGCAATCCATTGCTACTCACAAAACTTTGCAAGGATGGCGAAAAACACTGCTTTCCAATTCCCCGAGTAGGTGAAGGTGCTGGTGACACCGGAATGAAATCGATGCGCTTTGGGGAGGCGGATTTCTCCACATCGTTGTCACTCAGGCTGAAACTTTCCTCCCAGGAGTGGCTTATCTGCATTGCGGTCTGCACCTCTCGCTCGTGGACCGTCTCTCGGTTGATCAAGTCCATGCCTTCCTCCTGTTTGATCTGGTGCAAGCGGCTGCTGTGCATGCGGACGGGGGAAGCCGGCAGCAGCAGGCCGTGGCGGCTCGGGAACGTTGTGCTGTTCCGCCTGGCGCTAGGCGCCTCGGCCTGGAACACCGGAGAAGTGTCACTGAGGCCGTGGATCAGGGGGGCGCTGTTAGACCTCCTAAGGCCCCCGCCGCCGCCCTCCGCCGAGCTCCCGCCCGTACCCGGAGGCAGTTCCAGGTCCAGCTCCATCTTCTCCTGAGCCATGTCGGGGGCAGGGAGGCGGGGGCGGTGCTCACTCAGGGCCCTAGGATTCCCATTCCCCGCAGTCCAGGGCCGCCACCACCACCGATGCCTCCGAGAATCTGTCAGCAGGCTCCCCCCTCCACGCATGCGCGCCCCTTCGCGCAGGCGCCCAAGACGCCTGTCCGGGGCGCCTGCTTAATGCGTAACAGGGGCGCCGCAACCGTAGGGGTGGGGCGAGTAGTGGTTGGGCCGTTAGTTTTGGTGTTTCTTCCGCAAATAGCTTTTGAGCTCTGGCTGTTGCCAACGCACGGTGCTGAGGTTATCATATTTGGGAGAATATACTTATAAAACAAATATGAACTCTGAAAGAGACGCCCTTGGTAATGTGGGGCTGTAGGATAGGGAACTGGGCTTGGCCTAATCAGGGAGGGCTTCCCCGAGGAAAGCACAATCTAAAATCCGAGAAAGTAGGCAACATGGGTGCTCTGTAGAATGTTACTGGAAGCGCGAAGCTAGGGCCACCCAGCTGGGTGGCAGGCGGGAACCCGAGAGGGAGGAGGAGTGCGGCCTGGTTGAGAGTGAGAGCTGGCGAGACGAAGGAGGTGGAGACAAGCGCAGATTCTGGTCTTTCTTGAGGAAACAATGAAAGCCTCGATAGAGTAGCAACTGAAAAGTTCACTGACTGCATTCAGGAGGATAGATACATTGGAAGATTAGGACCTACAAGGAAAAGACCGAAGAGCATGGTAATATACACTAAGGTGGTCTATTGGAGAGGAGATGGAGAAAATAATAAATGTGAGAACTATTTAGGAGATTGGGGCGGGGAAGGACTTGGGATTGTATTGTTTTATTTACAGTCATTTCTGGCACAGACGTACTTAATGTTCATTAAGGATAAGGTATTAAACGAAAGGAAAAACCAGTAGTCCTCACATTTTACAAGTAACTGTACTTGCTCATGTAATTAAAGCCTTGATACCTCATTAAAAGTGGATTTATAATTTTTCAGTGATTTAGTCAAGGTTTTCCCCTGCATACCTAATATATTACAGGCACTGTGCTAAGAAATAGGCCCTATTATTATGGATAAGAAAGTATATAGACTATTTTTTTGGTAAGCCTTAGGAAAAAATAAAACCAGATGGTGTGATAGAGCACTGCTGATAGAAGGCAGAGAGCAATTAGAGTTGAGATCTAAATGACAAGAAGCAAGTCACGAGGACAGCTAAGGACTGGGGATGACAATCAGAATTGATTGTGCTAAGGCTCAAGGCACCATAAGTATGGTGAGGAAGCAGGAAGAGAAAAAAGGACATAATGGGAGAGTGATATGAGCGGATAAAGTGGTGTGATATCATTCTATGATGAAAAGCCACTGAGGAGTTTTAAGCAGGGGAATGATACCATCTGATTTATGTTTAATATTTATTTTTTTGAGATAGTATCTTGCCCTATGTTGCCCAGGCTGGTCTCAAAACTCCTGAGCTCAAGTGATTCTCTTGCTTCAACCTCTCTAGTGGCCAGTAGCTGGGATTAAAGGCATAGGACACTGTGCTTGCTTGGTGTGTGTTTTAAATAGCACTTTGGCTCTATGGAAAATAGGCAAGAATGGAAGCCAAAAGATGGATTAGGAGCCTAATTGCAACAGTACAGGAGAGAATAGTGGATTAGGGTTGTAGCAGAGGAGATCAAGGTGAAGTAATTGGAAATAAGAATATATTTTGGGAGCAGTATTGATAAGATTTGTAGATGTATTAAATTTAGATAGCAAAATAAATAGGATTTAAAGATGGGTCAGATTTTTGACAAATTGGGTAGATGGTAGTATCATTTACTGAGGAAATGAGCACATTTAGAGGTTGGAAATTAAGAGTTGTTTTGGTAGGGTTGAGTTGGTAGTGGCTATTAGATATTTTTGTGGCTACTGGAACTGAAAGAGCTAGTGATTTTTTTCTTTTCTTTCTTTCTTTTTTTTTTTTTTGTAGCCAAAAGAAGATATCTAGAGAAGATAAATGTTCATATTCAACATCACACAGCTTGGTTAGTAGTGGGAACCAATACTGCAAGGCTCTTGTTTTCTAGTTCATGTCACTTTCTAGTGTATCTCAAACAGCTTTTATTTGAAATCCTAGTAAAAATATGGGTCCTGATGATAAAATAATGTTCAAATTTATGCCTACATTAATAGAAACTGATTTAACTGATTTCCAAGTCCCAGACACTATGCAGAGTGCTTTACATGCAATAACTCTTTCAGTGCTCACAACACCCTTTTGAGGTACGTATCATTATCCTTATTTTGCAGGGGAAAACTCAAGACACAGATTAAATAACATCCACAGGATGACATTAAGTGGCAGGACCTGGGCTCTCTGGCTGCGGAGCATCAGCATGATGCTGCATCCTTCAAGTATGAAGATGTTTCAGGACTAGAAGATAACATTTTCAGATTGTCAGTGGCTTTGTTAAGGCAATGGTATTTGAGACAGGTTGAAGGATTGTCATGATTTTAAGAGATGACTTTTAAAAAATAACAGGATTATAAAATAGTGACTTTGGCTAATACATAAAATATACTGGAGAAGAATAATGGGGAAAAAAGTTGAGAGAGAGTGGATATCTGAATGGCAGGCAGAAGTGTCTGTATTTGATGTGTGAGACAATAGGGAACTATTGCAGGTTTTGAAAAGAAGAATGACACAATGGAGCTCTGCTTTAGAATTTGCCAGAAAGATCAAGGATGGAGTGATGTCAAATAATAGTGGAAAGAACCAGTTTTAAGTGCCTCTTGCTACTAGACTCTTTAAAACACTCTATACAACCCCATTTCTCCTTATTGCAATCTTCAATACTAATACTCTAAATTAGATGTTGGTATTATTGAGGTATAAAAACTACAAAGACCTTATTGTACATGGAAGAACAAAGACCTGAACCAACCTAAATCAAGGTCTCACTTCAGAAACCTATATTCTCTTTGCTGAATTTCACATAGATTAAAGAAGGAAAATTGGGTCACTAACTCTGAAATGAAAGGAAGGTCAAAAACCAAAGTTAAGAATGTCAGAAAGAAATGGATTTAGGAGACAGCAAGGCAACAATACAAATTCCCTGTATAGAGGATGAAGAAGAAGTAGTCATAAATGGCTGAAGTGCCAGTTTGGGTGGCTGAAAGAATGGTATAACATTATTAAATAAAGGACAAGAGGAGAAAGAGTGTCCAGAAAAAAGCTAGGTAAATGGAAAAGCATTAAATAAAGAACTTATTTTATAATATCCACTGCCTATAATTAATTTGCACATTACTAAGTTATTACTAATGTGGCAAAGTTATTACATTGTTCATATTTGGATGAGCACAATTTACCATTATTAATAAGGCATAGTGATGGTAGTAAGTAAAAAAGAAAGCATTTATGCCATTTAATTTTTGCCTGAACACAAAAGTTAGAGATCTTATTTGGTTTCTGTTTCTACCCTTATTCAAGATAAAACTTTTTAAAAAAATTTTGAATCATCATTTATCCAAAATCCTTCAGCAGATTCCCACTCCAAGAAAAAGCCAAGGTCATTATTATGGCCTGCAGGGTTCTGTCTAATCCAGATTTCTGCCATCCCTTTGACCTCACCTCCAGCTATCCTTACTACCTACCTCAAAGGCCTCTTTATAGCCTTCAGCTCATCAGGCATTGCCCCACTCCACATGGACAACTCAGTGGATAGCCACTCTGCTTCAATCCCTGAACAAATGTCACTGGGGCTCTCCCTGACCTTCCCTTATGAAAAGCAACCAAGCAGTGCCCAACACCAGGCCTACGTACCCCAAACCAATACCCTGTTTTTATTTTTCTCCAGAGTAATACATGATTTTACCTCTTAGCCTCCTGAGAAGATAAGCTTCATAACAAAAACTCTTGCTTTGTTCTGGACTGTATTACTAGTAGAACAAGGCCTGCCACAGAGTACAAATAAATGTTGAATCATTATGTGAATGAGTGATAAAGAATGAATGGGTAAACTAATATAGCTTTGCCCAAAAAGGAAGGGAATTTTATTATTTGAAAATCCAGCCTAATAGGCTTTTCTGACTGGTCCTAGAAGCTCCTTACTTTATCAATTCTTTTTCTTATATCAGGAATATTATTAGTTATTTGGCTCTCTAGCCCATGCAGGTAGGTTACTTGAATGAACCATTATGTTCAAAGAAACTGAAGCCTTAATTTTCCATTCTTTTTCAACCACATGCTGACACATACTTGGTAGAATTTAAATGCTCAGTGCTGAGGATTCTAAGTGGTGATTAATATATTGAGTTACTGCTTCCTCTCAAAGGAATCAAGGACAAATTAGAGAAAAATAGCAGCCATAAAACACAATTCAGCCTGTTGCAAATGAATTATGCCAGAGGCAGAATGCAAGGGACCTCTCTGCATCACTTCATCCTTCTGGTTTCATTCTATTAATTAAATACTAAGTTGAAATTCATGCTCGGTGATACACCATAAACCAGACATCTATTCAATACTTAATCTTTACTGTGATTATCATCTAACTACCTACCTATCTCAAGCTGTTTCTTTTTAATTCCTAAGGGCAAACTTTTACTACTAAGCCTCCAAGCCTGTGACAAGACAGATTTCCACCTCTAAATACATACTGAATAAATGTGAACATGAATGGGTGTTTGTATATAATCTGAGATGGGTGGCAAATATCTCCCACATTAATGAGTAACAGCAACCTAGAGTGAAAACTGCAGAATAAAATCATGTTCATAAAGCATAGAAATTTAGGAGTAAATATTTTCCCACCTTGCAAAAAATATTTGGCAGTACCTACTAAAAATAACTGCATGTCCTATGACTAAAAGCAGTCCCATGTGAAGGCTATGTATGCTAGCCCCAGGCCAACATCATTCTAAATGGAGAAAAATTGAAGACATTCACTCTAAAAACTAGAACAAAACAGGGATACCCTCTTTTACTACTTCTTATTTAATTAACATAGTTCTTGAAACACTAGCCAGAGAAATTATATGGAAGAAATTACGTATAGGAAAAGAAGAACTTAAGTTAGCACTATTTGCAGGCGATATAATTCTATACCTAGAAAAACCAAAAAGCTCCACCAGAAAATTTCCAGAACTAGTAAATGAATTCAG